ATAGTTTATTAAAGAAGGGGTGGAGGTTTCAATGGAATATTGAGAAAAATAAGATAATGAAAAAGTTGAAAAAACTCCTTTCTTCACCACCAACTTTGAAAAAAATTAATTATGATTCAAAGAGAATAATAGTACTAATGGTTGATGCTAGTTTAATAAAAATTGGAAAAACAATTGAACAAGATGATAAAGAAGAGAATAAATACTTAGTTAGATTTGGAGTAAAAGTTTTAAATCCTTGTCAAAAGGCTTATACAAAAATAAAAAGTGAATTATAAAAAATAGTAACCACAATGAAAAATGAAAAAGAATATTTGATTGGTACAATGGTGGTTATGAAATCAGATTATTTACCATTATTAGGCATGATTACTAGTTGTTCTATACCAAATATTATAATGTTAAGATAGATTGTATATATAAAGTCTATGAATCTATAATTCAAGCATATTTCAAGAAAGAATAATTGATTGCAGATATGTTATCACGAGCATGATATGATCGTGAAGATGATATGATTGATGATGAAAAAAATATTAGCGCCAACTTTTATTCAACTTTAAGTGCAAGAAAGAATAGGTTGTATTTGGCTACACTACTTGAATTATTTTTAGAAGAATAATATGATAATAAATAGTTGTATATAGAAAAATATTTAAGTATATTAATATTGCAAGAAGGTTGGATGGACAAAGAATTTAAGACAATTCAAAGGAAAGCATATGGATGTTTTCTTCAAAATAATTTTTCATGAAAGCATCCAAATAAAAAGAGTAGAATATCACAATAAATTGTAAATAAAATTGAAATTCAATAAGAGATCATTCAAGAATTCCATGAGAGTTAGTAGATTGGGCATTGGAATATTTGAGGAACATTTACTAAGTTGAAAGAGAAATATCGGTGGAAGAATATACACAAAGACATAGCAAATTTTGTGGGATCTTGTAAGACTTGTCAAGTATATTCAAACATTTTGCATCAAGATGGATTACACTCAACATATTGTTTAACTTTATATTATAAGTGGATAGTAGATTTAGTAGTAATGCTTATGGAACTTTGAAAAATAAAATATTTGATACTTGTATGAGAAGATTTATCAAATATGGTTGAAAGACAAGCATTAAAAATAAAAGGTACTAAAGATATATGCCTATTTTTATTGAAAGATGTTATTTGTTGTTATTGTTGTATTAAAAAAAATTACAAAAAGTAAAAATAAATTGAATGCAAGGAAAGCACAAGAATTCTTTAGTTGAATAGAAATTAATTTTTTTCAATAATAGCATATAATTCAGAAGGTAATGATAAAAATCAATGTAAATATTTGCCTATTGATAAGGCATTAGTAAAGACATACAATAGTAAAGCATATGAATGGCCTAAACCACTATCATTTGCTCTATGGGCTAATTACACAATTCATAGTTTTATAACAAGTTATATGCCTTCTGAATTAATATATGGATAAAAACCAATAATGCCAATAAAAGAGGTAGTACCTACTTGAGATGTATTGACTTGGAAGGATGATCTCAATAGAAAAGAAATTTTAGTATTATAGATGTAATAATTAGAAAGAAGACCTAATGGTATTGAAGTAATAACAAATAGGTTGAAAGAAATAAGAAAAAAGAATAAAGAAAGATTTGATAAAAAAACATCAACTATGACTTAAAGTAGTTGAAGATAGTGATTGGATGTTAGTTTATGATAGTAGCTTAGACAATAAACATAGCACAACAAAGAAGTTTGTAAAGAGAAGGTTTGGGCCTTATGTTATCAAACAAGAGTATGAGAATGGAATATATTTATTAAAAGAACTTGATGGGATAGAATTGAAGATACCTAGAACAGGTAAGCAAATTAAGTTATTTAAAAAAAAAAAGTGAAGATATTTGTTTTAATGAAGAATAAAATTTATTAAAAGAAATTGAAATGGAAATAGAAGAGAAAATTGAAGATGAAGAATTTAACCAAGATGAAAGCATTCTACATCAATGTGATGAAGAAAACTTGGTACACTTTGGAAAATGCATAGATTTAAAGAAAATGGATGTCATGATGTAATATGGCTAATAGGTAAAAAAATAAAGAAAATAATATATTATAAAATTTTTTATTTCAAAATATTATATAAAATTATCTTTAAAATATAAATAATAGTCAAAAGATAAGAAAATTAAAAATACAAATTCTACTTTTTTTGCAAAGTGGGCTTTTATATATTTTTAGGACCATAAATAAGACAAAATAAGGTAGATTAGAAAAATAAAGAATCACCATAGAAGTCTTATAAAACATCACCATGTAACTCCTAATTAGATAGTATATATAGACGCAAGAGTGAAGTCTTCTTCATTCTTATCAATACTTTTTTTGTTCTTAGTCTAGTTTTAAGAGTCTAAATTTTGCTTATCTTTGGCAATAGTCATTCTATTTTAATATTATACTATCTTTGAGTGATTTCTTAATCTTTTTTAGTAATATAAAGATGTATTGAAATTTTAATTCTTTGAGATTCATGTCCTTGATAAAAAGAGATGACAAACTAAAAATAAGAAAGTAAATATATTTAATAAAAAATTGCAATGGCTATTGCTAAAGACTTAAAAACTAAAGACTCTTGAAATTAGACTAGAAGCAAGAAAGGAGTTGATAAGAGTGAAGAAGGCTTCACTCTTGTCTTTATATATACTATCTATCTAAGAGTTATAAAGCAATCTTTTAAAGGATCTCCAACATCTATCAAATTTTTAAGATATATGTTTTAACTTGTAAGGCAAGTTTTCTATTTGTGCACCAATATGTATAACATGTGACTAATTTGTTGGCCAAGTTTCTAATCTATCAATTACCTATAAACATGTATAAAGATTAAACTACATCTATGAAGCTTCTAAAAAATTTCTTCTTAAGATATTATCAAATTAATCTACTTTTACATACTTCTACCAATTCATATTATTTCGATAACTATAAGTATATCCATGACAGTACCTTCCTTAGCATGCTATGATAAAAGATTCTATAATGGTAATAGAGTATGTTTACAAGATTTTTAAAAACTAGCTTTTCAATAACATTAAGTAATTTCTTGTCATTTGCAATCCAAAACACTAAGGCTTTTAACACTTTTGAGCATTGATTATTATCTATAACATTATTATTTTTCTTAAGATATTATCAAGTTAATCTATTTTTACTTACTTCTATCTATTCATATTATTTGGATAATTATAAGTATGTCAATGACATTACCTTCCTTAGCATACTACAATAAAAGATTCTATAATGATAATAAAGTGTCTTTTTAAGATTTTTAAAACCTAGCTTTTCAATAACATTAAGTGATTTCTTATCATTTGCAATCCAAAACACTAAGGCTTTCTACACTTTGAGGCATTGATTATTGTCTATAACATTGTCATAGTCTATAACTTTTGTATAGAATAATGATATATAAGTTGAGTTGCAAGCAAGACCACTACTCTCATCAATCTTGTAAACAATCTTAAAATGATTGGCAAGAACACCATTCAAAGTCAATTATACATTTTTAGAACTTGTCAATCATTATTTCATGCAAGTTGGACAATTATTGACAACCTCTAAATGATCTTATATCTAAGATGAAGATTTCTTCTTTTTAGTTGACATTTATTTAGAAGAATAAATAATCTACATTGTTACTTTAATATAGATTGGATTATATTTGGAGACAACTTGATCATCTTTGAATTAAGTTGCATTAACAACTTTATTTTGTTTGAAATCAATGTCAATTGGAATATTAATAGAATTGCTTACAAATTGTCATTTGTCAACATTATACTCATCTTTTATATTGTCCACACTAAATAGCAAAATGCATAATGAAATGTTTAACAAAATATACAACAAAAAGCAAGAACAAAATTCACACAATAACTAGTAAATGCATACAATAGTATCCAAATGCATGCATCAATAGTTGCAAATACCTCAAATATTATAAAATAGCAACTTACGGTTTTAACAATTAACTTAAGCTACAACTAGTCTACTAAATATTTAGTGAGCCAACTAGCTATTTATATTGGTTCAATGATTGGTTCATTTTTAATTAGCCAAATATCAAAGTCTAGGTATTTGTGACAATTTTATATATAATATTAGGAATCTTAAGAAAATTTTATTATCTTTAATAAATAATCAAAATAAATAGAAAATATATATATATACCAAATTTAGTAATTTTAAATATTTTAAAAAATATTTTTTATTAATCCTCTTAAAATTATTGAAATAAATAATAAAAATATAATAAGATATTAAATTTTATTTTAACAATAAAAATATAAAAAAATATATTTAATAAGAATATTAATAATCTTTTAATTTGTTTTATATTTTAGATCATTAATTGAAATTTAAATAGTTTGTAAAGTAAATATACAAACAAGATATTTATATTTCAAAAAACTTGTAGAAGTTTATTATTTGATTTAATCAAATAAAAGATATTTACTTAGTTGGAATGTTTTAGTTATTTATAATAGATTGTTATGATAAATGTCTCATTATAATCTTGCTACATTTGTAAAAAATTTAATTTTGAATTTTTTATTCTATCTTTTAAAACATGACTTTTAAGAGAGTTTTAATCATTAGTCAAACATAGATTTTTGTTACAATGTATTATTAAATAACAGGTCATAAACACAATGAAAGATTATAAATCAAGTTTGAAATGATAAAAATGATTGTATTGTTGTTACTATGAGGTTGTTCAATTTTAAATTCATATCTTTGTGTAAATAATGAACAAATAATAATACCAAATAAATATTTATATTATTTTCAGAGCTACGGTGTTAGTATCTAAAGAAAATGATTCTTAAATATTCATCCACCCCAATGCCAAGTTTGGGAGTTGATTCTCAAAGTTGGGTGTTGAAGAGACTCCATTCATGTTAAAGCATGCCCAAGACAATGAACACAGACATGACCAGCAATTGATAAGGAAGGAACACAGGAAACTGTTCATTTGCGTAGTATCAAGCCTACAGTCAGTACATAACCAGGATATCAGGAGTACTTGACTCAATGGAATCCTCCACCTGCGTTTTCATGTGACAGTAGACAAATCATTCCTTCTTCACCAACTACATCACTCGGTCATAAACAAAACTGATCCCACATCAGCAAATCCCTTGAGGTTGTGAATAAGAGCTGATGCTGGGTGGTGATGCCTGGATTCGGAGGCGCATACGATGGGTTTCAAGTGTGCTGCTTGTGTGGGTGTTTCGGATGCGTATCTCCACTTCCAGCAAGACAAGGTCTTTCAGAGTGGTTTCGACCGTTGAAGGTTATCACTCGGTTCTAGTTTCACAGCGACACGGTCTTCTAATCTCGGGGGCACAAGGGTCGGAAGCAGTTTATGGCAAACTGAAGTTCGCATTAACTATGTGAGGCGGACAACCCAACTTGCTCGCAACACCGCATTGTTGGCAAAGAATTCGTCAGAGATGATGAGTAGGATTTGATTTGGAACTTCCAACGCTTAGTGGCCTGCAAACTCAAAATACGATGGTTAATTTGGACAGCTTTCAGCTCCTGCTACTGCATGGCATAACATGGTACCCCTGCTCGGTGCGGCTCTCTGCAGACGTTGAAGAAAACGAGAGCTCCCCCGCAAGTTCAACACCCGCTAGACTCTCTACCTCAACACCCTCCACACGGTCAGAAACAGCGCCATACCCTTCATACGAGGTGGTGCGTGATGTCAGTGACTTTCTCTTTGAACTAAATTCGACAATCATTTAATCACCGACACTCTTTAAATAAATAGTTCGTTAAGTTATTAGTTTTGAAACTTCAAAAGTGAGCTGCTAAAAATGCATTTCAATTCCTGTCTGCCACGTTAATAACATAGACAATGAAGGCAGCAAGATACAGTTTTAAATGTGTTTTTCCTGGTATTTCTGACAATTGTAAAAATCCAACTCATAATTTAAATTGTTACATTTTGCCAAAAACTGCAGAAGTTAAGCTTCAAACTCACGTATCTTGCATCCTCCCATGCTGATACTTGCAAAAGAACCCACATGCACTGTCACCGAGTGGTTTACATCTTCCTACCTGATCAGGTAAGGGTTTCGTAGTTCTTCTTCCCATGTTAATAGAAGGAGAAAAGCCACAATAGACTCTCAGAAGTGCACTTCTTACTGCTGAAAGCCATCACTAACATAGACCACTAAACGTATTCCATAGATCAGCAATAGCCTTCAGCTATGAGATGTTCAACTCCGGTGTCTTGAAACCCACTAATCGAGAGGTACTCATGCAGCACTTGAAATGTCGGCATTGAGATGCCCAGGAAAGGGTCCCTGCCCACTCTTTTTCCAAAAAGCTTAGATCTACATTTATCCTCTATGCATTCAAAGCACTTCAGAGGATCTGCCACTCGATCCACAAGGCTAGCGTTCGCAGGGAAGGTCGTCGAAATAGTGGTCGATACTAATTACACATGCAAACAGCCAACTTCACCCTATCCAATATTGAGACACAGGTACAAACTGTTGGCTGTCAAGTGACGGAGGGTAATGTTCTGACCTGTCATCACCACATGATGGTATCTTCTCATTGCGAAGCTCGATTACACTTGTAGCGCGTCGAGAACTGTCAGAACTCACCGATGCTTGCCGTTTCTCTGAAGAAGTAGAAAGAGCACGAATTATCTGCGGTGCTGAGAGTGCTTTCGGAATTCTGCAAGAGAAGCAGCCAATGCGGCCGGAGAAAGCATCTCCCGTCTGTCACTCATTACGCCTGTCCTCTGTTGAGCCAACATTCCAGGTTCCTCGAAGTATGGTGTGCTTTGAGCCGAGTAAGACTCCCGAACTGGAGGAGGATCTTGATAGGAACCCGCAGATAGGCCGGACATGACACGGCGACACCAGTCCTCCATCTTCCTTTGAAACAAAACATCTTTCAACCGATTTCGCATACCTTTGTAGAATTGCTCCAGCTTAGCCTGCGCATGTTCAAGTCACAATGCTTTAGGATGATGATGGCTTCACTGCTAGCATAGAGGAGTTCGAGAGACGGGGTATTAACGACTTACCAGCTCTTCAAGTGGTGCCTCTTCAACATGATCCTGCCAGTCTTGTAGAGCCGAGTTCTGCGATCCCAATCCAATTGCTTTTCTTGGATTGAATCTGGAATCATGAGGACTTGAGCTATTTCCTGTCAGAGGAATAGGAAACGATTCTATTCCTCCGTAAATCGCCGCATGGAGACTCTCGGTGTAACGACGACACTCGATCAGCTCTGCCTTCAAGGATGAAACATCTTCTGACTGCAATGGTGTACCTCCGACTTGATATTTGAAACCGCTAATGCTTGTCGACGAAGGTTCTGTTCCTATATAGCATCCTCAAGGTGGTCAATTGAGCGCGGCAATCTCAAACACTTAAGACAGTGTCAGTGCTCGGCAAGAGATGTTCCCATACCTGTTTCTCTTCTGAAGCTCTTAGGATTCTCTGGCTCGGGCTGCATTGGAGGCCAGAAGTGGTCGCCTCTTCTTGATGGTCGACTCGGAGATTGCATACCTCTTGACAACCGTCCCGGGAATTCCAACACCAAGTCTCCTCTCTTTGACCCTTGGCCTGGTGAAAGGTCTCCTCTTCGAGAAATTTGTACTGGAGATTGATCCCCCCTTCGAATCGGCCGACCCGGGGATTCCATTGCTTTTCTGATAATTGCAAGACCATCTCTAGGAGGTCTGCTCTCCACCTCGCGTACTTCCCGAACGTACTGCTCGGCTTCTGCTGGCAATCGAGAATACGAGCTGCTTCGAGGAGGCTTGTTGTCGTCCACTTCCCTAACATATGGCCTAATCTCATCCCCTTTGCCGCGAGAGCCGCCTTTACTCGACGCTCGACTCGACGACTTCCGATACGCATCGTAGGGACCATCTGCATCTGAATCCCTGGACGATTCACATCCCGGCGGCCACAACACGGGACTCGGAAACCAGCTATCAGAGTGATGCCCGAGTCCAAGAACGCCGTTCTTACCACGCCCCCAAGCCCAGAGATCCCTCCCACCATTGGAAACCGTCACAGTGTGCGCAGCTCCACAAGCAATTCCTTTCGAACCCGTTATTCGGTTACACTTTGCTGAGGACTCACCGAAAACTCGCACTGGTGTCAGGGCATCACCGCTTTTAGAGCCTGGAGGTCCTATCCCGGGGCATTGCCCCAGACCTCCTTCCATTCCCCACACCCAAACGTCGCCGGAATCTGTCACGACTGCGGTATGAAACAAGCCACACACAACGGTTTGTATCCTCTCGTGAGTTGGCAATGCATCCACCGCGACAGGAGTATGAGAATTCTCACATGTGCCAATGCCTAACTGGCCATTCTCATTTTGTCCAAATGTCCAGCACGTCGATAGCCTCACATCGCCGTCCCCAAGGCCGTCTCTTTTGGAAGCCTGTGTCCTCATTGCTCCGTTCCCAATCCAGCTTGCCATGGAGGAGGTTGGCAAGTGACCTCGAAAATTGCTATCACTGTGCGAACCATAGGAACTATGGTTTCGGAAGCCATTATTGGATGCAGCGTTGTAAGGATACCCAAGTTGTTGTCGATCAGTTTGCCGAGCTCTTCCCTTCGGCGATGCAAGCGATTCCAAGTATTGATCCGATGGCACTCGTGCCCGTAGCCTTGGAGAAGCCATGCCTTGCTCGACGTGCATCCTCCCCGCCATGGAGGAGCTCTCTGAATCCCCTCCATGATCAGAAGAGTCATCCTCTTTCATGGTAACTATGGCACTGTGAAAAGCTCCGCAAGAAAAGTCCACTATAACGCCAACCTGGTGGGCTGCCAAGGCTGTCACCTGCGTGGGAACGTCGCGCGCCTCGAAGTCTGAGAGGCCAAGTTGGCCGTATGCATTGCTTCCCCAAGAGTAGCATGCTATTCCATCAGGTCCATCCACCAGCACTAATATATGTTCATTCCCACAAGCTACTCGACGTACTTTAAGGCCTCTTAGCGCAAGGACACGCTCTGGTTGATTGATGTTGGCGAGCTCGAAGGACTCCGACTTGTAATACTGATCGGAATCTGTGATTCGCACTCCTGCAGATGGTTCGGGTACTGCACCCCAGAGCCATAATCCACCTTCATCGTCGACTGCGCTTGACATCATGCCACCAGCTTCCACTACCATAACCTGCAGAATGTCATAACCTCCTGAGGTGCATAGTTAACTGCTTGAAAAGACAACTGGGAAATGGGTTGTGATACACTGCCTATTCCCAAAAGGCAAAACAGGAGACAAGGAGTAAGTACCTTGGGATTTGAGCCATCCGAATCGCGACAGTCTTCGTTCCAAGAAGTAGAATTCGCTTGGCTTTCGTCGAATGAGAAGCTGCTGGAGCGGGGGAAGGTGATAAGTGCCGGATACGATGCGGCTCTTTGACGACCCAGCTGACCGTCCATGTTCCAATTAAGGAGCGGCACAGAAATCCATATAGAATTTACGCATTCATTCAATTTCGGGGGTTCGGTTGAAAAAATCAACCCACCATGACCGTTCAGACTTGTAAATGACAATATTAACACAACCTGCTTTCACTCAAACCAAGTATGTAGATTTTGAAGTAGGATACAGGCATTGAAACCCCATGACCACACCGACCCATCACCTGTTGCAACCATTCAACAATCACAACAAACCAGTAATTTGGCAAGCTTCGATTGACTGCACGTCAAATGTAATTATTTACGTAAGAAAAGAAAAAAGCAAGAAGCTGAGAACTTAGTGACAAAGGAGAAGGACCTGCTAGAGCAAGACTGTGATACGCTCCAGCAGCGAGTTGACTAATTCTTGATCTTTTGACAGAATCCCAGTCGGTTGGGTGTGCTGAGCTTGAGGGGCTATCTTCGTGCTCCATCGCCATTGCTTCGAACTCAATGAGCGTTGGTACGAGCTCATCTTGAAAAACTCCCATGCCCATGCGGCCGAACTGTCCTCGGCCCCATGTGTATACACTGCCGCTGGCTGTACACCACAAAAATAAGGTTACAGCTAACTCAAGACCGTAAACTACATTTTCTATTCCCAATCTCTGTGGGTATTAGTGATGACTAAAATCAAAATGGTCCGTCATTGAAGCTCGCAAAAGCCCAATTTGACAGGAAAAAATGCAAGGTAATGCGGCAGAATCAAGGGTATTCGAAACTGTGACCATACACAACTCCCCATTCGATTATGAGCGCTGCGGTATCCGGTTTCCAGGATAAGATCTCTCGTGAGTGGAGAACATCCCATGAAAAATAGTTGTGTTTGCCTTTACATTCTAATTCTATTTTAGATTAAATTAGCACGTGCCTCGCTAAGCATTTCCATGCTCCACTCTGTGATACCGAACAAGTGTTGCAACGTCCCGTAGCATAGAACCTCTACTAAGTTTCTTGACCAGAAGCTGAACCACTTGAATATACTAAGAGACCGATGAGCAGGACTTCACCTGTGAGAGCAAGTGTGTGGGCCTCTCCCACAACCACTTGCACCACCGTCGAAGCATCTGGATCTTCATAGTTAATGTCCAGCCCACGCGCCATCATACTCCACCTTCAGAATTTCCCTATACTTCTCACTTGAATCAAGCAGCCTACCCTCCCCACCTGCGGCTAACATTCCAAGAGTCCATCTTCACCACCCATCCTCACACCAAGGGCATCACCGTCACAACCCCAAAACTATGCACTCTCCTTCAGACACACACCTGAACTCCAATGACAAAAAGATGTGAAGCACTTTCGTCCCACCAACCGGCAGGAACTCCATCCTCATGAAACGTCAGCAGGGACAAAACTCTCCTCGCGTTGTAAATTCTCCCACTCCAGACCAGAGTCCACTCTTTCACTCTTCAGAATTAATCGAAACCAAACAAAGGCATAATCGCAGCACAAATCCACGCAGTCTTGGGCGCCAACACCCTAACACTGCACAACGAACTTTCTAAAAGCCCGGAGAAACGGCTCCACAGAAATGAGCCGCAACATCCCCCTTCGTACTGTGTCAGACGAGAATGTGAACCATCGCAGTCAGATCAGCTTGGTTCAATGGGAGAATAAAACGACACCGTGCGGCACCTCACACGAGGACCAAAAGGCCTCCAATGAGTCCCGAAAAAAGTGCGTGCAAGTGGAGCCTGGTACAGCATCAGAGCTCCTGAGGTTGCGATGCTGCGAATCACCCTGCGTTCCAAATCTGCATTGCTCTAAGTCAGCACCTCTCTTTTGCCTTTGCAAGCAGTTTGTTTTCTCGTTTATTACTTTCCCAAATTAGTCTCTGCGCCTTTCCGACGCGGGAGCCAATCTGGGCTATATATGTAAACTTGTCACGGTTCTTTTGCCTTCCGAGAATTTAGCTGTCAGTCAGATTCTGGCTGATTGCACAAGGCTATTCAGAAAGTTCGAGAAGGAAAAAGCCCAAGAATTCATGCAGCCATTGAGCTTAAAATAGCAGGGAGTAACAACATCGTTCGAGAGTGAATGTGCATTCCAATGTCCTAGGACAGCCGACCATTCAGATGAACTGAGAGGGAAAACCCAAATTACCCATACTTGTGTGAAACACTGGAGGAGAATCGACCTTAAACTTTCAAGCCATCAGGGAATAACTCAGATAGATCGGCAACTGGTCGTTAGCGAAATAAAGTATTGCATCTCAGGCTAGTGGAATCAAGTCCCCTGTCTGCTTCTCGTTTTTAGACTTTACCCCCTTCGCAACCCGTGAAGTTGCTCCGAACTAGCTAAGGCACATAGTGTCTTGCACCTTTAAATCTTCAGATCAAATTATTTCTGCTTTTCATTAGACCCGCCTGCAACATGCCCATATTCAGTGGTCTGAAAAGTCCTTAAAAAAATCAACCCATCCACATATTTTCTATTAATAAAACTAACTTTACCTTCCTAGATTACAGTCTTAAAACAATAGCTTCGAAATGAAACTCTGCACACTAGAAAGCCCCCTAAAACCCTAGTAGAATAGGAGCCCTCAAAAAAATTAAGGTCTGATTTTAAATCGACCTCTACGACGACCCCATGCGACACGAAGGAAACTCCCAAATCACGGAACCTTTCGAAACCAGCATCTCCATCCAAAGATCTTGTAACTAACTCTCTCGTCACCGAAAGCCAGCACCTGTTGTATAACTAAGCGCCGGAATTGCCAAATTTTTCCAGGCGCGAACCCCCACCTTTCAGTCTTCGCCAATTAGCGATCTCAAGTGAAGACAAATGGTTTTTCCTAGCACCGCATTCCCGCTGGTCCACAGCGCCATTACCACCAGGCTCGATGCAATGTCCCCACCAACATGGCTTCCGTTGCGAAACACAGCCACTCCGCCATCGCGCACTGGGCCCTACCAGATGCGGCGGGGTCCGTGCCTGGACAACCCCTTCAGATCGACCTCTCCCATCAAAGTGTCACAAACACAACGAGGATTCACTGAAGCAGGATCGCTTGGGATAATGCAGCACCCAATGGGCGCCTTCGTCCCCGCATTGATCTGCTGCGACTCGGAGTACGCCAAACCTTCGAGACTCCTCCAGCCTCGCTTTCTGAGACAACTCCCTTCACTAAAGCGCCTCAACGCGAGTTCCCCGTGGACAGCTGACGTCAGAAGGCAGCTGACCTGGCAGCTCGCCCTCCTATTACCTTTATTCTCCCCCGACTTTTTTCACTTTCACTTTGTCGATGCGTTAATGTTAATGTGCAAGAGATGCATCTCAACTTGACAATTTGCACTATTTCTTTAGGAGGAGGTCGTTGTTAGGGTACATTAATCTTAGTTGAACAAAGCAAGTAATACCTAATACCAAGTTGAAAGATAGAATAAGCTTTTAAAGTATTTTCTTAAAGTGGTATTGAGAATAAGAATTGGATTCTTGACAGTAGATCAAATGCAAATACAATTGTATGCAAAAATGAAGAAAGAATTATACTAACAATGTATGTGGTGCACTAGCAATACAAATGTCTTTAGCTAACTAATACTTACCAAGTGAGTTTCTTCTATCCATTTTCTTGAGAAATTATGTTAGATTCTTGTCATAAACAAAGTTAAGAGATGTTAAAGTGGATTAAGAGATAATATACAAAAAAAATAGATAAATTATAAAATATTATAATAGTATGTTTTGTGGATAATTAACCAAATTCTAATGGCCTTTCTAAATAGAGAGAAAAACTTAAAAGAATTATAGAAGGTGAAATTCTAATTACAAAGAAAAAAAAAAAAAAAAAAAAAAAAAAAAAAGATTATTTGAGCTTTTTTAGATCAAAAAAATTCTTATTACAATGAGGTTATGTGGGAAATATTATTAAAATCACCACGCAAGTTGACTTTGACTTGTGCATTTTTTAAGCTTGTAAATGAATTTTAATTCTAAGGTTATATAAAACCTCAAATTTTGTGAAATTCCTAGATTATTTGAGATAACATTCAAAATCATTTCATAAATATTATTGAAGAGGTTTTTCAAAAGTATTTTGTAAGTTGTAATTAAAAAAAGATTTTAAAAGAATAATATTAAGACAATGATAAAATACATAATCTAAGAATTTATATGATACTGAATTCAATATTACTAAAGAAGTTGAAACCTTATTTGAATGATATAATCATTAATAAAAATAAATAAATAAAAGAATATCAATTAATGTAATAAGATATTTTTTAATTTTTTTATAAATAAATTATTAGATTAAAAAATTCTTTATTTTACAAAAACCAAGAGAAAGAAAAAAATAACAACTTATAGATTTACAATTAGTATACATTAAAGAATTATTGACCATAAGGCTTAAAAAAAAAAAAAAAAAAAAAAAAAAAAAAAAAAAAACTCAGTAAGTTAAGAAAAAAAATTAGTACGAAAAATATAAAATAATGGTAAAAAGAGATGAGCAAGAAAATTTACTAGTACAACTTTCATTAATTGCTACAAATAGATATAATAATCAATATTCTAACAAAAAAAGTCTTTATAAATTGTTATAGATACATCTAAATATAATATTAGATTGTCATAGCAATAATTTGATACTTTTATTAGATCATTAGAAGATTAAATAAGAATAATAGAAAATATAAAAAAAATTAGAAGCAAAAACATTTGCATAATTGTTGGCTCAATTAGTCTTATATCTTAGGAATTTGAAATTACATAATATCATTAAAGAAATCAATTATATAAGTAACTTAAAGTTCTTATAAAAATACATTAATAAAACTTAAAAAAATATTATTGATAATTTATATTCACAAAAAGAATCCAACTTCTAAATTCATATTTTTAAAGACAACTATATAAATGTAGTTCACAAAAAAATTGACAAAATTTCTTAATTATATTAAAATACTTATCAAGCAAATTTTTATTAATGAATTTATAATATAGTGTATATAAAACTCTATGAGACTTATAACAATCACAATCCAAACCATTCCTTGCTATACATATTATCAAACAATATAAAATTAGAATAAAATTTTGATCAATAATGGACTTTGAACAACAAATAAAATAAAATATTTTTAACAAAAAATAATGGCTATATATACCTTCTCAAATATAGATGTTCAAAAAAGAACCATATCTAAAAAATAAAATTTTCTCTTTTTTCTTCAAGTATCATTAAAAAATTAATTTTAAAAAGTAGATTACTAAATTAATTTTTATTAAAATATTATCAATATTATACAACTATTATCAACTATTCATATAATTAAAGTTATAAATCATCATAAAAGTACACCAAATATTCAAACTAATGTTTTGTATCATAATTCCTTCATTTTATTATTGTACATTACTATCACAAATATATATTAATTTATATCAAAAAAAATTAGATAAAAATAAGAGAAGTAAGTATATTTGATAATATCTTATAAAAAAACTTTTTAAAAATATTATAGATGTAGATTTGATTTCATACATTTTTGTAGATAATTGATAGGTTGAAAATTAGTCAAACTAGTTGGCTACGTTATTATGTACTAATATAGCCATTAGGTGAAAGAAAAAAGGAAATATTTTATTATAGAAGAGCTTAAATGAAACTATTTTAAAAAATTATCTTAAAAATATAAATAATAGATAAAGAGCTTGTATAAAGTAATAGATACTAATACTACTTTCTTATAAAAGAGATTTCTATTTACTTTATAGGAACTTAATAAATCATATAAAAGTAGATGAGATAGATAATTAATATTTATATCATTAAGAGGAAGTTAAAAATAGGTTTTAGCAAAAATTACCTCAAAATTATAAGAATTGATATTCCGAGAGGACCAGTTGTAAACCAAGGTCAAAATTAGATCCTAAAGAATAAAAATATATGCCTATAGCAATTCTAGGATTCTTTGATTGATCAAAAGAGTAGGATTTAAGACTAAACTTGCGAAAGGATTTTAGAAAGTTTATTTCATGTGATTTAAAGACATACTGAGGTTTTGAGGGCTTTTCAAAATGAAAAATATATTTAGTAGAGCTGAATTTTGAGAAATAAAAAAAAAAAAAAAATCACAAATTTTAGGATTTTCTAAGTTTTATATCATATTTATTAATAATTTTTTTTTAGCCTATAATCATATTTATATTTAATCTGTTTAAAAATTTTGATGTTAATTGAATGATTATATTGAAATTTATGAGAGTTTTTATTGGTTATGGTCTGGAATAATTGAAATTTAGGGCCAATGAGGGTTTTTATGATCTTTCAATATTTGTTGATTTGATTCGAGCAAAAATTTGTAAGAGCAATTTAAACTTAAAATTCTATATACTAATCAAATTTTGAAGCAATTTAATATTTTAACAAGGAGAAATTGCTATTAGAATATCAACATCTAGGTTGAAGAAGAATAGTGGCCAATATCCAAGCAGTTTGAGTTTTTTTTTTTTTTTTTTTTTTTTTTTAAATTGAAAAGTCGATTTTTCTCAAAATTTGTATACTTATTGATTGATTATAAATTAAGATGTGAGAAAAAATTTAGTTAAGATCATTTATTTAATTAATATTTATTAAAATTTTAAAATACTTATAATAATTAATTATTATTTATTAGAGATTTTTTTGGAATTATTTAGGATTTATTTAGGATTTAGGATTTTATTAGAATTTGATAAAAGCTTTAATTTAAGATTTGATTAAGATTTGATTAGGATTTAAATAGGATTTAATTAAAATTTGATTAAAATTATATTAGGATTTGATCTAGGATTTAAGGTTTGGTTAAGATTGGCACAATAATTAATTAGGATTTATATAGGATTTATTTAGAATTTATTTAATATTTCTATTTTTAATATTTAAATTTTTTTATTTTAAAGATTTTTTAATTTTTTTGGATTAATTTATGATTTTTTTATGTTCTTTTTATAATATCTTTTATAATTTCTTTTACATTGATTAAAATTTAATTAAAGTTTTTGAGAATTACTTAGAGTTTATTTAAGATTCTATTGATTTTGTAGGATCTTATTGTTGCATGTTCTATTTACCTTCAACAACTAGGTACTTGATACATTTTTAAGCAAGAATTCAAATTATATAATGATGTGTAAGACATATTAGTGAGTTGTTGTATAAGTTGGCTACGTGGCATACATATAGGAAACTATTTAATAAGTTAGACATATGTCCTACAAATAAAATACATATTAGAGGTCTTATAAAATGTTGCTATGTAACTTCTAGTTAGATAGTATATTGTTATAGATATACATAAGTCTTCTAATAAATACCTATATGATTAGATAGAAGTAGATAAAAGTAGATAAAATTTCATAATACCTTTTAGAGAAGCTTCTTAAAAGCTTTATAGATGTTGCTTTAACTTTACATATATTTATAGTTAGTTGATAGGTTAGAAACTTGGTCAATAAGTTAACCACATATTGATAACTTGCGAAACAAGCTAACTATGTGGTACAAATGTAGAAACTTGCATTGCAAGTTAAAATATGTGTCTTGCAAAGTCAATATGTATTGGAGGTCTTATAAGATATCACCACGTAACTCCTAGTTAAGAATATATATATAGGCAAGAGTGAAGCCTTCTTCACTCTTGTCAACACCTTTCTAGTCTTTAGTCTTATTTTTAGACTTTATACTCTTCTTATTTTTAGCAATAGCCATTTTAGTTCAATATTATATCAATTTTGAATGATTTTTTAGTTCTTTTTAGTGATACAAGAGTGTATTGAGGATTTTTTTTTTTTTTTTTTTTTTTTTTTTAGGATTTATTTAGTTGATAATTTGACAAAAGTACTAATTTATTATTTTTATCTTCTTTTAAAAGTAAGTGAATTATTCTATTTCTATTATTCTATTATGAAGATTGTAAACTACCTACCTTTAAATAAAAAATCTAATCTTTTAACACTAATCTTTTTCTTAAAGAGAGTAGATTATCTCTCTTTGTGGAATTTTTTATTTGATATTAGAGGTTGCAGATTATTCTCCTCAAATTTAACTTTTTGAATTTTTTTGACTTAGTTATGAAAGAAAAGATTATGGATG